CACACACTCACTCTCACACACACACACACACACTCACTCACTCACTCACTCACTCACTCACTCACACCTATATGTGCATCTGTTAATCCCAGGGAAGTTTCGCAGTTGTCACGGTAACAACGGAAGCGACTCATCTCCAGCTGGGTTGACCTGTGAGAGATCACTAGCCCCGCCCCCTTCTGCACTGGCCCCGCCCCCTGGCCTACATAGTCAAACTGCTTTGATTCTCTGGTTCCCGGCTTCAAATTCATAAACACTTGACCTAGTTTAGAGGGCTTTGTTTACCCTAAAATAAATTCTGTCATCATTTACTCACCCTCACGTTGTTCCATTGAGTTTCTTTGAACATATACCATGGTATCATCATGTTTTTCGACATTCACCACAGTACTATGATGTTTTTTGGACATGTACCATTGAAATACCATGTTTTGTAAACATGTAAATTTTTTAGACTTACCATGGCATATGGATATGTAATTCATTCAGTACAATGTTACACATTGATTATGTTTTGTTTAATCTGTCATAATTTCAGCCATAGAGAAAAGCAACCTGTGATGCTCCAAAAAAAGACAAAACCTATGAACTATTCTTTTAAATCAAATCACACATATTTATCAATATGAAATAATGTGTCATACTGACATATTATTATAACTCAGTTTTACCTAGTCTAATAATTGTATATGAAAAGCCGTTACCTAGAAACTCATTTTTGATTTATCGTAACAATTATCTGGGAGTGCAACTGATTTGTTAGGTTTGCTCTGAAACGCAGGATACTGATTAAAATGAAATGTAATGTTCTTCTGCTGATGAAGTAACACAGATGAGCTCCATCAGTCCTCAAACCTGCTCTTCATTTTGTGAAGGTCAAAGGTCAAAGGTCATTGGATCCGGGAGCCCATGACCTTCAGATATCTGCCTCAAAATGAGATATTCTGCGCTGTGGGTCTATTGGGCAGATACTGATTATGTGGAGAGGCTCACAAACATCACCTTCAAGACCTCAGCATTTATCTAGGGAGCTAAACAAGATGCTTCAGTGTGTGCAGCGTTTTCAATCACACGCGACCGCAGCTCCGGTTAGACCGTCTACGACTGAAACAGAAACACATAAGAGAGAGAGAGAGAGAGAGAGAGAGTGTGTGTGTGAGAGAGTGA